TAGGTTAGCTGACCAATTTTTATTTTCAATTGGAGGTGTATCTAAAATATTTAGAAATAATATTTATAAAATAGATTATTATTTTAGTAAATTTATTTTTTGGCCGGAGCAAAATGCAATTAAAAAAAATCTACCCATTCCTTTTAGAGCAAATTATGGTAATGTGCAATCTATAATAGATTGTTTAGAAATTCAAATTGAAAAACCTACTAACCCTATTCATCAGGCACTAACATGGTCACAATATAAAAAATGCAATACAATTAAATATTTAATTTCTTGTACACCCGATGGATTTATTAATTTCATTTCTAGTGGTTATGGGGGAAGAATAAGTGACACATTGCTTACTCAGCAAAGTAATTATTTAAATGTTTTACCAAATAATTCTGTGGTGATGGCAGATTGTGGTTTTAAAGATATTGCAGTCATATTACAAAAAAAAAGTTGTATTCTTGTGAGACCACCAAGTGTAAGCAGCACTACAAAACCCACAAAAAATGAAGTAATGGAGACTAAGAGGATTGCTAGCTTGAGAATTCATGTTGAAAGAGTAATTGGTAGATTAAGAGAATTCGCTTTTTTAAAACCTCATTCTGTCATTGACCACAATTTAATATTTTTTACAGATGTAATTATAAGAATCGCTTGTGCTTTGTCAAATTTACAATCACCTTTAATTAGGTCATAGTTTTTTTTTAATAAATTTTTTAAAATATTCAATAATTTGAATTTTTTCTCCATATGTACAAACAGGATGTCCCATAAACATACCCACAAACTTTTAGAAGTGATAGGAAATATCAAAATAAACAAATGTCAAACAGCTTTGATTAAGATACCTAATAGGCTTGCCCTATGGAAATTTTGCAAACAAACTATAAAAGGTCGAAATTATACCTCATGAAAATATCAACTGTTTAAATCGTTTGTAACACATTGATTAAAAATTGTTTTTTCACAAAAACAAAGATATTGTTTATTAAGCAAAAAAATGTTTATTTTATTATTTGCTGAACAGTATATGTATAATTCGATACCTTTTTGACAAACTAAAGTAAGTGACATTTGTTCAAATAGCACTTAGGATAGTTTGGCAAAAAGGTATGGATATGTAAACTTGATCAATATCTCAGAAATAAGATGTTTGTATTCAGACTAAAATAAACATTTCAAAATTGGAGTTTACTCTTGAGAAAAATGTTCTTTTTTTTTGAAATCAGAGGAAGTTTTTTGTCCCAAATTAAAATACAAAGTTTGATACTAAATTGTTTGTAATATTCTGCACAAAGTATAATGATTAAATGTTATTTAATATAAAACAAATTAAGACATAATTAAAACACATATTCAAGCAGCTAACAATAATTTATTGAAAATATTATTTTTATAAAATATTGTACATTTACTAATTATGTCATTTATAAATGTTTCATCATACATAATCCACAGACAAATTATTTCATTGGTTAATTCAAAATCTGGCTTTGCAACTATAAAAAGTCCTTTATTTTTCTTGGTTGCTAACATTTGCAAATTAATTTGTGCTTTATATTTTAGCGTTATATTGCCATCTTTAATATATGTTTCAAAACTTTTGTTTGTTAATGGACATTTAACTTCAACAACATAATCATTATTTATTGCATCTGGCGTTGCACCAAATATAGGATGATCACACAATAAATGGAACCCACTTTCACTGAAATTTACAGATAACTTTTCTTCCGCAGCTTTTAAAACACGCTTTTCTAACAATATTCCTCTTTTCATAGCTTTCGTTGGTTTAATTTTATGAGCTCCAATAATTGATGACACTAGAGTACCATCAGTGGTTTTACACCTAGAAACTTCATATGCTTTAGAAGCTGTTATCCGTCCATACCTTAATTCAAACCATAGTGGTGATTTATTCTGACTTCTCGTGTCAATTTCAGCATCTATACTTGTTTTTTCCAGGTGTTTTTTTGCAAATTCTAAGAATTGATCAAAATCTGTGTTTCCATCTAGTTTAAATTTATGGATTAATTTATGAATACTTAAAAATTCATATTTTATATTATTTCTTTCATATCTGGTTAGCTGACAATCAATTTTTTTTCTTTTGGCTTGTGACATTAAGTCATTGAAAAATTCGTCATTGTTTTGGTTTTCAGCTATTTTATGGAATTTACCAGATGGAAATTCGTGAACATTCATAAATTTAACGGATGTTCCAATTTTTGATAAAACTGGTTGCTGCCAGTAACTGGTTACGTCTGTTGGTGATGGCTCTTCACTTCTTCTGTGGACCCACATTAAAAAAGCTAAGGCATGTTTGCAACCTCCTAAAAATGAAAACTTTCAGATAAAACTATGTTAAATATTGAATTTTTGATGTGATTCTCATGTAGAACCGCTCGAAAATATATATATTGATAATATAAATATGTGGGTGAATTAAAATTTACATCATTCACATATTACCTGCAGCAGCTGGACATGTGTTGCAAAAGACATCTCTTATAATTTCTTCTTCTTCATTTATTATTAATTCAACAACATAATTTGCTTTTTTCACATTATGCTCTGGACAAACTTTACCTCTAACACTACAAATATGGTTATCCCTTTTAACTTCAACATAACCAATTGCGTTGTCTCCATAATCTTCACGCATTGAACTAAAAGAAAATACATGCTTTTAGACTACCTATATTAAAAATTAAATGGCAAATAGAAGTAACACTTTATTTATGACTACGTACAAACATATATTCTAAAAATACTTACTGAGCTGCTTTAGCACCTTTTAATTCAATTAAATTAAATCTATCATCTCGTTTTAAAAATTCGTGAAGAATAAAAATGTCCAAACGAGGCAGATTATTAGAGTTAGCTTTAACATATGCTGCTGCCATTTTCTGTTTTATAAAAAACAAAAACGTAAAACCAATTATCAAAAATTAAAAAACAAACACCAAATTACCAAATCAAGCCAAATTAATTCAAAACAACAAACAACAAATAAAATAATATTGACATATGACATATAGACCTAATGACGAGTACACAATTATAATTTTCTAAGGATATACTCTATTTTGATTGGCTAGAAAATGAATCACTAGTTCCGTCCTTTTTTTATTCTCAAGAGTAAAGAGTGGCGAGCGGAAGTCGCAAACCGAGCATCTGATGATGTTAATACACACTAAAAATATGGTCAAGCGGGGGTCGAGCGTAAGAAGTTTGTGTTCTATCCAGTGAGTAAGTGACGTCACAAGCCCAATAGCGGACTTTTTAAATCGTGTAAATTAGAATTTTTGTATTGTTTGTATAATCCGAACGACACAATGAAATTAAAAAAAAATAGGTGCAATGTGATCGTTTAATTAATTTTTAACCAGAATTTGATAACAAAAAATTATTTAATTTTTAGTTGAATTCCTAATTGGAATAAATCTATTTCATTGATTTCATATAGTTAAAAATTCATTCGTAAGGGTAAAAAATAATTATAACAAGTGGTTTAGGACCGATTCCACCGTTGTGTTAAACGGAGATTAAAATTACATTGTTAATGTAAAAATGTCATTTTAAACTTCGTTTAAGACAACGGTGAAATCGGTCCTCAGGGAACTGTTTTAATACCACGTATCACCAAATACTGTTGTAATTGACAATGCACTGTATCACAATGTTATCGAAAATCCTGCTCCAAATTAAAATTTAAGAAAAACAAATGGTTAAACTGTTTGACGACCAACAATACAAATTGTACTTTACCAAATTGCTCCTGTGCCAATCTGTAATCTAGAGCAGTGGTTAAAAAAAAAATATTTTATGTACAAAAAATTACATGAGACATGACAGCGATAATTGTGTTTTCTCTGAAAATGACAATCCTAATTCATTGTGAACCTAGCTTTTAAACCTGAATTATTAATATTTTTACCTAAATTTGGCAGAGATAGTCAATAATAATTATAAACTCTTGTTAGACAATTCTTTTAAACTATCATGTCATAATCATAGTAGTTTTTTTGTCGTTTCTATGACAACCTGTAAAAATGAATCACAACAATAGGCATACAAATAAATTCTTAAATCAGCAAAAATTGATTCATATTTTTAATGATTTTTTACCTACTAATCGTGTGTAGATGTTTTTGTGCGATGTTAAGAGGAAGAAAATGTTTCCCGTTAACGATATATATATCAAGATATATTTGAATATATCGCTGTTCCGGTAAAACAATGACGCAAATGCAAAATTATAAATTTTTCAGGAGAGACAAAAAACGAATATTATTACTTCCAAATTTGGGCACATAAATCACAAAAAACTTGTTCTAAATATCAAATACGACATTTAACCATGGAGTAAGTAATGTCTTCCTTAAATTTGCAGACACAACTCTTCATATGTTGTTTTTCAAAAGTGGAGGGGAAAACATTAGTATTTGAAAACTGACGTAACTACCATCTAGATGGCTGGGAGTGAATATAAAATTTCGCCGTTGTTATACCGTATAGAGAGACTAATTTGGAAACTAATGACATGTTAAAATCAAAATGTCACAATTTTACACTTGCGTCATTGTTTTACCGGAACGGCGATATTATTATCTGGAAAACTTTAAAGGCAAACAAAATTAGCGCTGTCATGCCTTATGTGATTTTTTTAATATAAAATATATTTTTTTAAACACTGCTCAGGATTGGGATTGTGACGTGTACCATTCGGTAAAGTACAATGTTTTTACAAGCTTTTTGGGGTATATTTTATTTCATTATCAGATGGCAGTAAAAGTTTACAGTGGGCTCTTGGGCTATTATGATTTGATTCCGTATGCGCAAGGGATACAAATCCGAGTTGCGCAATGTATAAACTGGAACCCGACTGGAACATTGAGATCAAAAGTGCCGACGCAGAGTGAGCGAACTGATTCTTTAGCTATAAACTGTGACATGGGCATGTAGTTTTGAGATTACCACCATACCACCCCCAGACTAAAATGTAATAGAACATCTGTAGTAAAAAATATTGTAGCTGCAAAAAATATTGATTTTAAATTAAAACGGACAAAACACTACACATGGCATGCGTCACGTTTAAAATTTCGTGGGAAAATCATGTTTGTGACGTCATTAACTTGATACTTCAATTATGTGACGTTAAAAATGGCTATAAGAGAATTGAAAATATTCATGGCCGACTCGATTGGATTGGACAGAAAAAGGATCAAAAGTAAAAACTGATTGGTTCTGTTTAAAGGCGCCTTAATTTTCAATTTTTATTTGGAAGATCTAAAATAATTGTTTAAAAAAAATTAAAATGTCCACTTCTCTGTTTTTCGTAAATGCGTAAGTATCTACCTAATTGCTTTAATCATTCCACCTCAACTTCTCATATTTATACAGAGATTCCAATGAAGACAAATCGGATTGCCAATGTGTGGACGATCAGTCTCAAACTCAAAGCGAAGCCCAGCAAGCACTAAATCATTTTTGGCCTAAAGTTATGGAAGAAATAAAAGCCATTAGAAATGTAAGTTATGATTTTAAAGAACCCATTACTCATCCTACAATAGGTAATATTTCTTATAAATTGTTTCAGATGGATCTGAAACAACAAGTACTGCCTTTAGCAAGAATTAAGAAAATAATGAAATTAGATGAGGATGTCAAAATGATAAGCGCTGAGGCTCCATTGTTATTCGCTAAAGCTGCAGAAATTTTTATTCATGAATTAACATTGAGAGCTTGGATACATACAGAAGATAATAAACGAAGGACTCTCCAGGTATTAAAATTGTAAATCACAAAGTCAATATACCGTTATATACTTTAAATCAGGGATCTTCAACCTTGATTAGTCTTATGTACCACAACAAAGTCATTGTTTTATTTTTTTAAACAATCAGGTCTAAGGCCTGTACTTTTAGAAACAACAGTTTAAAAAAATATGTGCAACTCATTTAGAAAATTCATGGTTCCTTATTTATTTGTATCCAAATAGGCCAATGGCCTTATTACATGGATATAAGTATCATAGTACATAAATAATAAACTGAGACTGACATAAGGGCTCTATAAAGTATATTTTCTTAGAGCTCATGTTAAAAGTTGCATTAATAATTACATTTTTGGTGGATGTTATAAAGCCATTAAATATTGAACAAGCCTCACTCAGAAAATGTATGCCGTACATAGTGGGGTCCCCACCCATGTACTCATATGATTTATAAAGTGTTGATCCATTCTCGTCTAGATTTTGTAAGTAGGTATTCTTTTTGGCAGGCAAGAGCTATTGAAAATTAGATAAAATTCAGTATCAAGCAATTCATGTAGTATTAGGTATGATACAATTTATTTATGTATGGGTCATAGCTCATTAAAACGTAGTGCAACAATTTAAGATACACATTACAAATAATAATAAAATCCTAAGTATTAAGAATAAAATTAATTTAAATTATATATAATAGATTGAGGATATATAAAATAAACCATTGCAAAATATTTACATTTAAAATAGAAATAACTTACAATATTGTTATTTTAAGCGAAATTATGTTTAAATAAATCATGTCACTGGTAATGTTTATACTATATTTTTTATTTTCTATAGAATTGCACCTAAGTTATTTAACACTTGTTTTGTGCAGAACGTATTTAAGGTAGTTTTTTTTTTAATTCAACAAGTTTGATCTTTCCTATACTATATTAAATAAATTTCAAATTAAAAATAATGTAAATTAGTCCATTAGTTTTATAAAAGATAAATAATTGTCATTTATAAATATCTTAAATTGAAGTGAACATTTTTTGTAGTTTTTAATCTTCCTAATACTTAATGGTAATAAATTGTAAGTCTTTGATGCTAGATGGTAAGCAAATCTTGTATGTACATTTTTATTGGAATAGGTACTTTCAGCAATTTATTTGTTATGCTATGAGTCACAATATTATGAGAGATATGATTTTTAAAATGTTCTTTTTTATGCATAAATGTTACCAATGTATGAAAGTACAGCGTTCTGATATTGCATATATATATATATCTCTTCCATAAAGTAGTCTGGTTAAGTATCGCCTATTTTTTTTGTAAATAATTTTCAGTACATAATTTTGGATTGTAGACAAGGCTTTTAATGAATTATAATATAATGCTCCCCAAACCAGAATTCCATATCTTAAAAGTGATTCCACTAATGTTTTGTATACTAAAATCAAAATATTTTTACTCAAGATATCTCTTAACTGATAAAATTTGTATATTAGTTTTTGCACTCGTTTCTAGGCTGATTCCATTTTATATTTTTATCTATAATAAATAAATAATAATATTTGTCATTTATTGAATTCAGTCCAATAGGCTATCGACCAAAGTCCTTCTGCCTTATCTATAATATATCTAGTATTTTTAACTTCTTTTATGTCTCCAATGCCATTAATATTAATGCTGTGAAAATTAGGTCTGTTTATATCTGTAATGGTAAATGCTATATAGTTGGTCTTATCTGCATTTAAAGACAGCTGATACCCATCCAACCACATCTTTATGACATTCATACCTTCTTGAACGCTTTGTTTAGTATTGTCCCAATCATATCCACTAAATATGGCAACAGTGTCATCGGCATATGATAATACTACTCTGCTATTTATGTCTAGTGATAATAGAGAATTTATATAAATTGTGAAAAGTATAGGCCCTAGGACTGTCCCTTGCGGCATACCCACTTTCACCAGTAGCGGTTCACTTAGACATCCATTGACTTTTACATATTGGGAACGATCATTTAAATAATCTTTAAATAGACTTAACACAGTACCACGGATTCCATACCGCTCTAACACTTGTAATAATTTGCCATGATGTACTGTGTCAAAAGTCGAAAGCCTTAGCTAAATCTAGGAATACTGCGATACATTTTTTACTGTTATCAAGATTGATTGAAACTTCATTAATAACCTCATACATGGCATCTGACGCGCTTTTACCTTCTCGGAAACCATACTGATATTCACTTAATATTTTGTTACTATTTAAAAAATTTATTAAACGTGTTTTTAGACATTTTTCAGTAATTTTTCCAAATTTATTGATTAAACTAATTGGGCGATAGTTTGATATTTTATTTTTTTCACCCGCTTTGTAGATAGGGGTTATCACAGAGTTTTTAAATTGTTTGGGGAATTTTCCATTTTTGAATATTAAGTTAATGATATGACTTAAGAGGGTGTACAATGTATCTCATAGTTAGTTTTAACAAAAATGGCGTGATTCCATCATACCCAGGTGCACTAGCATTTTTTAATGAATTGATGTAGTGGTATATTTCATTTTCTGAGTTAAAAATAAAGTCTTATTATTAATGGGAGTATTATATAATGAGAAATTGTGGGGTATATTTATTTTTTCAAACATTTTAGTGCCTATACTGGTAAAATATTCATTACAAAAATTTGCCATTTTTGTATTACCATTGAAAGCTTGTCCATTATCATTGAATATATCTAAGCTGTTTGTACTTTTTTCAGATTTTTCATTTGTTGCGTCAGAAATGACTTTATATATTTTTTTATGTTATTTTGATATTGTGTTATTATGTCTTTATAGTAGTTATGTTTACATTTTTTTAAAAGGCTATTTATAAAATTCCTGTAAGTTTTATATTGATCCTCTAAAGCTACCAAAAATTTTTTACACAACCATTTTTTTAATTTATCTCTTGCGATAATGGACCTTGTAAGACCTTCAGTAATCCTTGGCTTTATTTTTTTAGACTTTTTCCGAATATTTTTTATTACTGTGCATTCGTTTATTAAACGCTGAAAAGTGTCTAAAAACGTCTGTTGCTACTTGGGCGTCATGTGCTGCAATGACATTCGTCCAGTTTTCATTTTCAATTAATGCTAAGCATTTTTCTGTATTTATTTTTTTGATTGTGTGAAACCCTTCGTTTTTATTTTTTTGTATTGGAGCAGATGTGTTTCTATAAAAAATAGCCGTTGTAGCATAATGATCTGTGATACTACACGTTAATATATACGATTTAACACTTACATTTCCTACATGTTTTCGCTTAATAAATATATGGTCTATGCAAGTAGATGTGTTTTAGTTACAGGAGTCGGCAGTTGTATGTAAGGTAAAAATCCCTTGTCTAGCCATTACAGATATATATTTATTAGTAATTACGTCTCCATCCAAAATGTCGATATTAATATCTCCTACAAGCAATAATTGAAAGTGGATGTGCTCTGGGTTTAATTCAAGATAATTATCAATCTCTTCTAACAAGGATATTAGATTAGACGGATTTGGTCGATATAATGCAATAATCCGAAACGATGTACCATCAACAGTAACATTTAAATAATGTAACACCACAGATAACAAGTTTAAAACTAGTTGCCGTGATGTTCAAATTTGTTTTATAAAATATTACGACCCCGTCGTTTTTATTGAAATCAGCATTATTATAATACGTTTTATAGCCCGAGATATTAATTTGTTATAATCCATCTATCCTAAAACATTCGCTTAAAATAACAACAATCGACACCAACTAATATATTGCCATCTGAAAGTGGAGAATCACCTTAAATTTTTGAAGGAATTGGTTAGCACTAAAATACATAACTAAGATATCCTATAAAAACACCTTTTATTATTACATACGTTCTTTGCATGAATACTTTTTGAGAGATGTTCAGTTTCGGCTGGCCAATAAAATTGCGTCCCTTAGTATTAGGCCTTTTCTCTATATTTTCAAATTCGGAAATGTTAAAAAGATATCAAAAACATGCAAATGTCTAGCATTAAGCTGTAAAATATTGTAATATCAAATGATTGTATCATCCTAACTGTAGGCCAATAAATAAAGTAATAAATAAAAGGAAATTAACCCATCCTGCAATGAACTTAGATTTTAGGCATAGTCAGTCTTGAAATTTGCGACCTAGGTGATTTTGAGCCATAAGCATATTGAAGTAACAAACATACCAGAGCATTATAAACCACTAAAATAGCTTTAATTTACTATGACCTCTTGAATTAACTATAATTCATAATTATTTTTTCTATAAAATGCCATTTACGAATAGACCTATGTAGTTATAGATTTTTAGGCAAAGTAAAATAACTGTTTCTTTAGAAATGTAATTACAATGTGACTTATTTTAGTCATATACAAAAAAAAACGTAAGAGATTTAAACTCGCTCATTTTTTTTTTCAACTTCATTTTAGATCTACAGTATTGGCCACTGAACGTTTTCCAATACGGTTTACACACAGAGAGTTAGTATTAGGGCAGGCAGGAAAAAAATCGTGTCAGCCTTGCCAGCTTGTAAGGCCCGGCCAATGTTACAACGCAGTCAGGTCGTATAAAATGACAACGCTGATACTATTTTTTTCCTGCTTACGATAATGCTAACTCTGTATAGTTTTCACATCCACTTGTGTAAACCTTATTGGAAAACGTTCAGTGGCTGACACTGTATAAGACGCGGACAATTATTATTGCTTATTTTTAAATTTTCAGAGGAATGATATAGCAATGGCCATCACAAAGTACGATCAATTTGATTTTTTAATTGACATTGTGCCTAGAGATGACATAAAACCCAATAAAGTTAGAGAGGAGACCAGAGTTGGTACAAATCCAGACCAGGTTGGTATTTTTATGAACACCATTGAGATAGAATGAAGTAGAGACGACCATTTTGCAATATGACAGATGTACACTTAGAGATGTCAAGACTGGCGGAAAAGTGTAATCAAAATGGCGACTTACTTTGATATCAATTTTATATTTGAAGATTCACGGAATGAAAACGTTTAAATGAAGCTATTTTAAACAATTTGTATTTATTCTCCAAAAACTGACTAGCTCGAGTTTGTCACATTACATAAAAGTTTAATGCAATGGTGCGGAAACTTTTAATATTGTCATAGTCCTCTTTATTTCATCTCAATGATCAACACGCTAACAATCTTTTTTGATCTTTGAAATAAACAATAAATATTTTTTTCCAGGTACATTATTATTTCCAACTTGCACAACAACATCATGCCAATTTACAACAAAATAATTCTTCACCTACTTCGAGTTCAACTGGAAACCAAAATCAAGGGACGATACAGATAGTACAACCACAAGTTCAAACTGTCCAAGTTAACACTATTGAACAGGTGTATATTTGATAGGACTATTTTTTTTTTCTAGAGAATCTATGCTAATTTTAATAAATCGTTTTTAGCCAACCCAAAATTCATCATCCCCACCAAATACAACTCAAACTCCTGTAATTTTACAGCAAGGTCAAGCGATACCTCAGAATCAAGGAAATGTGCAAATAATACAGCAAATCGTTACACCCACAGGAGAAATTCAACAGATACCAGTAAGTATTAATGATTTTTCTGCTTGTCTGATAATTGTTGCTTAAGTTGTTTCAGAATATAAGAATAGCAAACTTGTTAATTTTTAGATACAATTAACCCCTCAACAACTTCAGATGATAAAAATGCAGTTGCAGGGCAATTCATCACAACCTGTCATCATTCAAACTGCTCCTATTGCAGCTGGAAGTCAATCTCAGTTAATTCAGGTAAATCATATTTCTATAAGATACTTTCAAGCCTAGTGTAACGTTTATACTAGTTGAAACATTTTATCATCTGGATATTTATCTGTGTGGATCTTTGTCTTCCCTAAAGTCCGAAATTAATTTCTTCATCTCTTCCAACATCTCCACTACCCTCATTATCTTTCCTCTGTTGATTTTTCTCTAGCTAATTATGTTGATTTTACAGGTAGCTCAACAAAACGCTGGTGGTCAACAGGTGTTCTTAGCACAGGGTAGCAGCAGTTCAGAAAATGAATAATAAAATATTTGTAGTTAGTTTTAAGGTATTTTATAAAAAAAGAACATGTATATATAATCAAGACTTTTATTAAGAAACTCAACACTTAAAATTGGTATAATACAGTACAATATTTTTACATTTTCAAATATAGTACAAAATATAAATAGTTGTGGGCATATATTTGAATATTGTTCCCTTTATTTTTCAGCTCTCCTTTAGGCAATTACAAATTTAGGCTTAAGGTACTTATTTTTTTATCGCAGAACTCATCACTTGAAGAAAAACAACAGGAACATTTTTATAAAATTATTTTGATTTATTACTTTATTAATACTGCGCAAAAAGAAACTTCTTAAAAAAGAGAGTATGTACAAAAATAATACATCATTTATAAAAATTATGCATTAATTTTTTTGTCATCTAGATAATCACGATAGTTTAAAGAATTAAAAAAGTCATGAATTTTGTGCTTTTATATTAATTTGGAGTTAAAGAATTGAAAATTGATAGATTTTTGTTACATTAAAATAAAAATATTAAATTAATTGGTAGTTAAAAGGACACTTTAGCGTGACTAACTTGATATAAAAAAAGAACGTCAAAGTTTCTACAAAATAAATTAAACATAGAAACACCCGAGAACATATTGAATTAAGTACAGAAGAAAGGTTTTCTAAAATCTAATTCTATAAAGCCTCTGCTTATGTATAAAAACTATTTTTTTTATTTTAGTCTATCAATATCAACTTTATCAAAACATTTAAAATATACTTATAAGACCATATGATAGAAGTTGTAAACGTCTTTTTTTATATTAGAAATACTTACCGATTATTAGGAGAATATTGTACCATATGAAGATATAGGATGCATTAAAGAACTTTTTAAATATAACTTTTAAGTTTCCAAAAACAGAAAACGTTTGATATGAAACTTAATTGGTTTATTTCATATAGTACAATTAAATATTGAACAATCCAGTGATTCGCTCCTCTGGAAAGATGGTGATGAAAATAAGATTTTTATTTTGACTGGGAAGTTATTAATTTAAAATCAAGTATATAATTCTTATATAACCAACGTTAGTGACCATTGTCTACAAAACAGGCAAAATAAAACATTCTACAAACCTATAGATAGACCTCTCTTAACAATAAAATTTTAAGCATCAACAACAAACTATTATTTTCTTTTTATACTTTTATCTATTAAGGCAATTTTTTACACTGAGAGTGGAGTTGGCACTTGGCAGTCTTGATTCAGCGTGCCAATTTACTACTAAATTATCAAATGAACTACTATTTGACATTATTCCCTTTTCAGTAAGGTATCCGACATTCTTGGTGAAAATAAATATAAAGACAAAACTTATATCATATAGATACCATATACATAGGTAGTGTCCGGAAAATAATGCATAGATTGATTATAACAAAAAAGTTTTTAGAGTTATTTTTTTTTAAACGTGACAGTACAGCCCAGCAGAAACAATATTCTGTAATTTTAGGGTTAACATATAAATTAATCCAGAACATGAAACTGTAGGGCGTAAGCTTTTATGTCGACCCCAGGATAAGTGCTATCTTAAGTCCAATGTATGAGAATTTGATTCAAATTGAAACTGAAGATACATTAATTGCGATACCAATTTTTGAAGAGATTCCCGAAGTTGTGCAATAATTTAATTGAACTTTTACATTTTCATTGTCTATGTCACAGAGCAACTATAAATCAAGAGTTAAATCTCCTAATGGAGGGGGTAGACACACGATATACCCATGTACATTTTATTTGCACACCCTTGGATGTTATGTTAATTGCGATTGATTGTTACAGGTGTTTAAATATAATATTGCAGTGGTGGCGACTTTTTCCTTTTGTTTGAGTTAAAAAACATTTTGTAGTTATTAGTGTGTACATATTTTATAGTCTAGTTTATAATTAAAATAATGTTAGTACAATGGACAAGATTTGGCTAAAGCTACTTTTACACCTAACCCTAACACCTGCTCGATTGTAATGGCACTTTTTAAGATCAAATATAAAAAATATATATAAATAAAATACAAAGATCGAAATCATTGTTGAATAGTTTAGTTCGTGTAATATAATAATGTACAACGTTTTCGGTATAATTTGGACTCAAAAATATAAGTGGTTATTAATGCCAGATGATAGTTTTATGTTGTTCATTAATCAGGTAGGAAAAGTATTTGACGATGGGATAGTTTAAAAGCATTTTAATTTTTTTTGATTTGTTTATATTATCTTTTATTCCAGTGAAAACGTTTCATTTATTAAAGATATACAAAAAAGTAGGCGGCCAATCCGTTAACCATAGATTCCTTAGGTCAGTGTGAGAAACCTCTATTTTTTTTTTTTTTCGAATAGGGCCATCATGTTCAATATAAGGGTGACTTGCAAAACTAGCGCCCTCTATGAGGTAGGTGATATTTAAGCTCAAATTATGATTCGTCATCCCAAAAACCCCAGTGTACCAATTTTAAGCCATCTACTTAATAAAACGACGAACATTAATGAAAAATGTATTTTTTAAAATTAACTTTGTCGCCCTGTTTATTGAATATGATGGCTCCAATCGAAAAAAATAATAGGTTTCTTACACTGACCTAAAGAATCTATGGTTAAGGGATTGGCCTACTTTATTATACAGGGTGGCTCACGCTCAACGGGACGGAGCTTTATGGGAAAACGACCAAAGATATAAAAAATTCGTTTGGGAGGAATACGTAGGTTACAGACGACTACAATTTAAAATTTGTTAGATGTATACAGGATGTCCCACATAAGAAAAAAAAAATTAGTTCATTAAAAATTATTCAAACAAGAGTAAACAATTAATTTCTGGGAGACTTTTTTTCCTTAAAAATTCAAATAAATCGAAAACTAATAATAATAGTAATAGGGAACCTTTAGTTAACTGACATTATTTTTGATGTAGTTTTTAATTCTAAAATGGTGTTCCATTAAAAATAATATAACTTTGTATATTTTTTCTTATGTGGGACATCCTGTATACATCTAACAAATTTTAAATTGTAGCCGTCTGTAACCTACGTATTCCTCCCAAACGAATTTTTTATATCTTTGGTCGTTTTCCCATAAAGCTCCGTCCCGTTGAGCGTGAGCCACCCTGTATATATATATATTTTTTTTGTGTGTCATCGGCTTCAACTGCTAAGGATATTTATAAAAAATTGGAACATCTATTTTTACATTTTTCAGGAATCGAAAAACAGTTTCTGAGAAAGCCTGTAGGTATATTTTGTTGAGCTAGTCGAGTACATTTTGTTGAGCTAGAATTCGAAAATGCATTAAAAGGTACAGGTTCCTATTTGATATTTCAAAGTGGCATGTGGTGTAGGTCATGATTAGTACTGATTGGACAAGTCCCTTTGAGACGAACAAATTTCTTATTTTTTTATCCAAAAAGTAGTTTTAAGGCCAATCTTTTCACCTCTGAGTAAAGTTGAAAGTAACTACTTGCTGATTAAACTGTAGGGCTATTGTACTGTCAAGTAAACCATGTAACTTTACTCAGAGGTGAAAAGATCGACCCTTAGAGATATTTCGTCATCTCAACATAAAAGATTCACCATGTATGTACAAAATTTTATTAATATCTATAAATCCGTTTATTGTGTGCATTTCTTTAATTTTAAACCGTTCTACCGAAGGTTCAACACCCAAAATATAACTAACATGTGTAATTAGCAATTTATTTTCCAAAAATCAATGAAAAAAAATTTTATTTACAAAATCAAAATCGTCAGCGTCAAATATACTTAAAAGAAACTAATTAGATTTTTGTCACAATACAGGTATTACTTGAAAACCGCGTTTTTGGACAAAAGATAATAATCAATCGTATCCTGGGCTTGACATTTTGTGCCATACTAATAGATACTATTGAGGTAAAAATTAAAATTACTACTTACTAATATACAGGGTGACCCCAGATGGACTGAAGAGGAAAAACTTTATTTTCATCTTTTAGAAAAAATGTTATTCTTCATAAAAGTTTTTTGATTGTTTCAATAATAATAATGAACCCATTCACTTTTGGGTTCTAATTAACAGTGCTGTTCCTAAAGTGGCGCTGGGAAACAGTAACAAAGCCTACACAAAACACGAGGGTAATAACCTTAGCAGTTGATGCCGATGACACACAAAAAAATAATAATTCAAACAGAAGTTGAATACTTCTTTGCTTTAGTGAAATAATAAAAAAAAAGTTTTTATTTTTTCACATCTGTCATTGTATTTCAGAGTTATTCTGTTTAAATTATTATTTTTGAAACGAGCAAAAACTTTTTCTTCGAAAAGGTGAAAATAAAAGATTTTTCTTTCCTTTTTTGAGTCCATTTTTTATCCCATTTTAATTATTTCAGTACGGATCTCGCAAAATACTATTAGAGTTTTAAAATACCGTCCTATGTTCCTCCTCATTTGAAGTTTTTCTGATTTATAGTTGCTTTGTGTCAATGTATGTATACAAACCCTACTTTAATTGATGAACATTTTTTCCTATTTTTTCAATGTACATTTTTAGCTGCGATGCCAATTGTGTAAAGTACACTAGACTTTACTTACTCATTAAAAAAAAATAGTTTTATTCTAAATACCAAACTAGATCCATACCTGAACGGAATGCATTATTTTCAGGTACACACTATAATAAAAAGGTTCTCTTTTTATTTACAAAAGAAAAATTGATATTGAAATTTAAAAGAAGATTACTACATTTTTATTTCATTCAAAATGCTTTTTCCTGAGTTACTAAAATTTTTATAGTAATTATCGGTGCAATAACAGAAATATTTAGGCTCACAAAAATATCTGATGAATTTACTTTAATCGAGGAGCAATACACTCATTCACAATACTTCAAAATATATAGTGTGTCTTTGGATTCATCTAACCATAATTGTAAATGTTACACTTCTCATTATTCTGAAAAATCCATAATCACAATATCAGCATAACATACAGTTTTAACATATATATCAAATAACTTTTTAAAATAAGCTAAACTTTATAAAAATGAGGAATATGATTTTACAGTTATAGTTAGGCCCATCCCAGGACACACTGAATAAGGCCACTTAAAGTTTTATGTTGAACGTTAGCAGTTGCAACAAGAAGTGCTGCTAAATTTTCTTCTAGTTTTTGGCTATTTTACTAAAATAATGAAATAGTTACTCCTCAATCAAAAATGGTGGTCAAATTAGTTTTTTGTTAAATTTTCAAATCATGTAGTTCATTTGTCCTAATTTACAAACATCACATCATATTAAAAGTTAAAAAGGCAATGATAACAGATTAGTGCCACATATCATCAACAAGTTTGGTGTACAATTACATATAAAAATTACACAACCTACAAATATTAATAATATTAGAGACAAGAAACACTTTATGGTTCTATATACAGGGCACACTCAAACCAATTTCATAAATCGAAATCGTGGTTTTCGCCCTGTTAATAAAAGTATAGGGCACATTTGCAGGCAAAAGGGCTCAACATTTTACATCTCAGCCAATATCACAGCAACTTGAAAAACTAACTTACCAATATAAAGCCTTTTTTAGAATTTTTATCCTTATTTTAAGACACACATTTAAAAATAAAAGTTTCAATGCATATTTAAATGCATACAAGTTATCAAACAGTCTAAAATTCAGACCCTATAGTATATTTTTATGAAAAATTTTGTTTCATATATGAACATTTGTTTGTAAATAACCAATAGATATTTAATTAATGGTATGTCAGTCGAAGTGGTTAAGATACTAAAATAAGGAGTCTCAATTTGTACAAAATTGGAACATGTTAAAATGGCAAATTAAATATTACCTTAGATATACAAAAGTTTCAACCCTGTAGTCCTCAAATGTCTTTAGATTGGGGTTTATAGGGAAGAATGATTTGTCTCGTGCTCATGTTTTCAAATGACAGAATGATAAGAGAAGGCCGAGAAAACGTCAAAAACAGACTAAAACGTAGATAAAGGTAGCAAATAATTACAAACACTATTAATATTGAGGCAAACTTTGCATTATATTAAGAACATGAGAAAAGTTTGTGCAAAAGTGGTGCAAGGATAGAAATTCAGAACAATGTGAATTCCTTAAAATAAAGCATAGTTAAGTTTAAGCCATTGTAATTGTTTTCTTTGAATAGGACGGGTTTTATTATGGAACATTGAGTATCAGAAGGACAGACAGTTGAACAAAATTATTACAAACACGTTTTAGAGACACTGAGGGAAGAAAAATGATTCCTTCACGCCCTTCACCAGAACACCTTAGTACCCGCATATTTGTCAGGCTTTTCTTCAGCGACTCTCGTTTCCCAAAGTGAAGAGGGTGCGTTTTTTGACGTTAGAAAAAGCGATTTAAAGAACTGAATTCAAACAGTTTATAATAAAAATTAGGGACTCCACAAAAGAAATATCTATTAATTATTACACAAAAATTATTTTATAAATACCGAATGTAAGAAAGATTTGTACTCTTAACAATATACAAAGATTCAATAATATCTGATCAAGAAAGGTAAAGATTTTATAAACTTTTTAAATTTAACTAGGGTTTTTTCGCCACAATTTGCCATCCATAAAAAGATTTATATAAAAATAAAATGTTTAATTTCAGTAGAAAAATATTCACTTTAGGATATATACATCAGGGTTGGACATATTTATCGGATCACCCAACTGTTTTGGTAAAAGTTTTTGTAGATATTATGTACTACTGAATGACGAATATTGATTTTCAGTAGTACAAATGAAATGTCTGTGACTTATAGTTTTAGGAAGATGAAATAAAATAATAAGAAAAAATTAAAGGTGCAACAGCTTCATAGTCATCGAGGGTTTGCCTGTTTTAATAGCATTAAATATTACTATGTATATTTTACCATATGGGGGTGGCTAGAAAAAAAAACGAACTTCTCGTTCTACAGACAAACGGCGAGTGCGTAAAGGTAAAACGGAACACGACATGTCACTTGGAATCTCTTCTCCCTATTGCTACCAAAGTAATAATTGCTTTTTTGAGTGATCAAGGAGGGATGAGAAGTGATCATGGACGATTCGCGCACAGGACGAACTGGAACCTCAAAAAGACACAAACATTGAAAAGATCCATGCGCTTGATTTCGTAGGAATCGAAAAAGAAAGTTTTAGGCACATAACAAAAAGTCATGTCCTTGTATTAGTACATCCACCCTAATAACCAGATCGCATTACTTGACTTGTTATTACCAAAGGTTGAAGCAGCACCGAAAGGAAGATTTTAAACAGCAGAGCTGTCAAAAAAAATGCAACAGAGACCATGAACATGCTTTCAAAAAATGATTGAACAGCACTGCTATAGCCAATGGAGAGGATCGTAAATTGAAGGCGATAATATTAAAATTGTGAAAGAAAAACAATAACGATATATAGCACAAATTCGGTTTTTTCTAGCCACATCTCGTATTAAATGAGCATTTTGTTTTATCCCCTACTTCTAAAACTAATTACAGGCCCCTCAAATCATTGTAATAATCAAAAGAAATATCAGAAAATATAAATAAGGTGTTTAAAAAACTTCCAACTGGAAATGTATGAAAATTAAAATTGAAAAAGTATGAACATTTTATTTGCCATTTAACATTTGAAAAAATGTAATTTAGCCTAAAATGAGAAATTTCAGACAAATATACCCAAGCCTATATTAATATATCCTCATAAAAACAAACACTGCAAACATATGGGACACCGCAGCCACCATTTTTTTACTTTCCTGTTTGTATACAGAAGGAAAGTATAGGAACCATGATTTTTCTGTACAATAAACGAAAATAGATCAAAATTACTATTTGAAAACAGTTTTCGTGTCATATATTATGTTTTTAATGAACAGAAATGTATTCGTCTGTTTTCATATTTTTTAAAGTAATTTTTGGCAGTGGCCATAATAGCTATATATAAATACATATATCTTTTATTTTGGTAACTAAACTGTTTCACAGTAAATAAATAGAAGAAGTGCATTTTATTTTTTGATACAATCTATGAAAAAATTAAGTATTTAGTAATGATGAAAAATGTATTGATAAACAAAACAATTATTATTAAGTGCTTGAATAAAAATTAAAAGCATTCTACTTTTGTTCCCAATATCATATTGAACCTTCATTACCATTATTTTGATTTTCTTGTTTATTAGACAATGTGACGAATAAACCCTAAATTATTCTTTACAAGGCTAGATGAATCAAAATTAGGTTTTAACAATCTAACTTGATTTTTTTCATTCAGATACTACAGATATTTGGGAAGAAACACCTCAGAATATGCAACATGGTAGGTTGATTTCATTACAATTAAGTATATCTCTGGTTAAGAAAACAGAATAAGACGCCTAATTAAATAATTAGACGTAAACTAAAGATCAGGACCTGGGTCTCAAATTATAAGACTTGCTATAGGTCGGGCGATCAGAATCAAGAAAATCTGAATCTAAACTCGGTATTTTGGATCTATTTAAAAGAGCGGGATGACAACACTTATAATAAATCATTAAAAATATTATTCCTAGTAAAAAAGTAACAATCTGTCCACCCGCAGCCCCATAATACAGCATCGGGTTATCCCCCGAATTGTTAGTAACGCACCATACAACTAACGCTGCTGTATTTTCCATAAAGCAGACTAAGTAGTAAGCTAGGTACACGTATCTTGTGGGTCCATCTCTTGGCGAGATGAAGGCCAAGACATAAGCAAGACCTAAGGCAGTGGAGAGGAGCAGTTCTTCGCATCTACTACTGCATGCGGCTGTTTGATGTTGGCCTAGGGCTAGCCAGACGGACATAACTCCCCAGTGAAGGGCGCAAACACACCCCATCCAGGCGGGAAATATGGAAGCTAGAAGACTTAAGGCTAAGACACGTGACACTGCAAAATAAAATATTAAATATGTAACATGAATCACTTTATTAAAATGTTTAGATAATATTTGCAGGATACTGTGGATTTAGATTTTAGAAGATTAAATGAAGTTTTATAATATGAATATCATCATCCTTTTATATATTTTAACTATTGTTTTGCCAGAGGCTTTGCTGTGGATTACATTATATAAAAAATGTTTTTCATTATTCACGCAAAATAACGTTTAAAAACTGAAACTATCAAATGATATTTCACTTGAAATATTACGTACAATGTGTTGCCTATCTTGTGTTCATTATTCTTTCTAGTAGGTATTGTTTATGACTAGGAATTAATTTTCATTTACTATAACATTTTTTTGCCTGCAACATATGTTCAATTTACATGTTTTTCGTCAATCTGTGTTCGAATATTTTCGGATAATAAATTCAAAGTGAGTACCTGACTTAAAGTGTTCATATATTATGTTCTACTGTTTGTTTATAATTATGTATTGTATATATTACACCCATCTAAACTTGTAAATTTTATCGCACTAGATCAACAAATCAATTCGAGGAAAACTCCAATTTTGTGGTGAGATTTCGAAGCGCAAAAGCCTACTTTGAATGACAATCGTAGAAAAGGTTTTTATTAACTAATATTGGGATAGGCCATTAGAAAAAACTCCGAAGATAAAGTGGATTAATCAGTCTGTTTCTTTACCGTTAAAGGAATCTTTCAATATTAATTTTTAAGGAATTTTCATAAAAACATTGTTTCTTTATTTTTAATGGAGTTTCTAAATACCCATTTACACGTTTGTCACTGTTTTATTTTTTGAGATAAAAGGGGCGGTATTCTTTAAAATATGTCTTTTTTTTGTTATATTTTTACCAACCGTTTCTATATTTTCCGGAAAATACCAAAACAGACGTTTCTTTATTTTAAAAAGAGAATCTATACTAATTTTATCAAACTTCAAACGGATTTCAATAAAAAAAAAATCGTCGAAATAGATATTTGCCTTTTTCTGTCAAAAACAGAATTATTTTAACATTATACGTGACGGAGAACTGGATCTAAACAATAATGTCATTGGATAGAGTACAAACAAAATTTGCAATATAATTTTTAATCCATTTGAAGCGTGGCTTTATTGAAGCCCTCTAGGCATTTACTTCATGTCTTGAATGGTAAAACTCTAGTTTCAAGGTGTACTCAGAACCGACGAGAGGGGGGGGGGGGGGGGTGTAGCCGGGACCAATTCCCGGGGCCCGGCAGCTTTAGGTGAGGACGTTTTTTATATTTTTAGAAGTTCGCCACAAGAGGGAGGACCTTTTTTGCTTAAAGACCCTTTTTTTAGAAATGTGATATTGAAATGGCTTAATTTTCTTATAAAAATTTTCCGGTGCCCGACCTGGCTCTCGGCGGCCCTGGGTGTACTGACCGGAGTACTGATTGCGGAGATGTTGCGAGAACATGAATTGTGCACTCAGGGTTAGTACTAGAATGTCACGAAGCTTTGGCCGAAGTATCCATCAACAATGTGGTCACCTTAAGATGGATCAAAGGTCACGCCACGTCGAAAGGTAACCGTCTTGATGATTCACTAGCCAAGAAAGCAGCCAACCAAATACTCTTTGGACCTGGCCCTTCTATTGGCCTGACAAAATCGGTAGTGACAGACCTAATCAAAGAACATTCCCTTGTGAAATTCAAGGAAAGATGGGATTGAAACAAGAAACTGCAGAGTTGCCAGGGAGCTCTTAAGTTATCCTGACAACACTGCAGCAAACAAATACTTGACTATGACTAGACAGAATCTGCGCCTAGTCACAGGCATTATGACTAGTCATTGCAAAGTACGAAAGCATCTCCATATCATGGGGCTGTCAGAATCCGCACACTGCAGAGGATGCGAACAAGAAGATGAGACAATCGAACATATACTTTACGATTGGCCCGACGGGCCTAATGAGGCCTAAGTGCCGTGGGGGTAACCCACCCTCCACACGTTACAGATACAGATGAATTGTGTACTAATCTCGCAAACAAAAACATATATTAATTCGTTTAGTTATAAGCTGTTAAATTACTGAAAAATATAATCGAACATAGAAACTTAATCAAAATTTGTGGGCCTTGAATTACTATGGGTGTTTTTAAACCAGAATTTTATTGGAAATGATATCCAAATTTAACATTTTTTTACACTCATCTCAATCCTAAAAGATTGCTTAACATTCAAAAATAAAGTTCCAATGCACATTGAATACATTTCCCAAACTATCTTTTTAAACTAAATTTAATAAATAAACACGAGCAGTTTCAAAGAAAAAAAAAATACAACTATCTACTCATTTGTTTTTGAAGGTTGATATAAAATACCATACCAATTTATACGTTTTATCAAGAATGTTGTTATTATTTAGTATTTTAAATTATAACCTTATTGTTTGTCTTTTCTATGAATGATTATTTGTCAAGGAATTGAACATTATTTATTTTTAAATACAGAATTTCTTGTAAGAATTCAGTTCTGTCGGCAACCTGTATTTTACGAACTTTTCTTTATTATATCACCACTACAGTAAAACCAAACTAACTAGATTTCGAAAATATATTTTCCAATAAGTTTTTCCTGATTAAATGGAATATTAAAAAAAATACGTGTGGCACTAGGGGACTGCCGCGGTAAAGCTATTGCATAGCATTTTTTATCAACTTATGCAATTATAATTATTTATTTTATTTATGCAGTATTTTTTTTCTTTGATATTAATTCAAGTTTTTTCTTTGATATTAATTCAAGTTACACTTTTTGAGGGTGGTGACCGATAAGAAAACAATTTTTTTTCTTTTATTGAATAAATGAGAAGTTAATATTGTTTAAAATATTTTTATCATCTTACAATACATGTAGGTTATTCAGGAATTTTTATCATTGAAACTATAGGTTTATGGTAACTGAAATAAGAAACATAAGTTTGAGACTTGATATCCTCTAAATATCTGGAAAATACCGCGTCAATGGTGGTCCCATATTTTGTTGTGGGTTCTTGTGGATCATTATTCATTTTAAAATTCAATTTTTCCGAAATTGTATCTAAAAGAGATAGAATCAGTTATAAGCAGTTAGCAGCTAGTCTACACGCATACGTCTAGTCGCACGCACACAAACACCGTGCCAAAGTCTGCCGAACTGAAACGATGTTAAGACGATGCACGGCTTTCAACGCCACACCGCTGTGCCGGTCGGAGTGGGGGGGTGTTAGGTTTATTTTCGTTACGGAATTTATTTTTCGAATTTTCGATTTTTCGATTTTTGGATTTTTCTATTTTTTGATTTTTCGGTTTTTCGAGGGGTTAGGTTTATTTTCGTTAGGAATTTCTTGATTCGGTCGCCGCGCTCAAAGCCTGCGATAAAATCTGTGTAATAGCTTAATAATGAAATAGTTAACACTGATAAAATAAACATTAATATTTTTTCTACACCCGTATTATAATAATGCACTTATATGCCCATAATCCGTTTCATAATGATACCCATTACGATACAGATTCTTCATTACGATACAGATTTTTAATCAATAGAAACCTACAATTTGTCAATCAAGCATGCTGTTTGACGTTTGTCCTAGGTTCCTATGTAATTGTTTTAGTTGTCAAAACGTATTAAATTTTCGTAGATAGCTAAACTTCGATTATTATAATATTAAAATGTCTGATATCAGCGATATAGAAGACTCCTCCACACATATCGGAGAAAGCAGAAAATACAGTACAAAATATTTTGCCGCAAAAATCTAGGGAAATACCAATACCCGAAGTAATACCATTAATTACAATTTTGTAGAATTTTTTATAGAAATACCAATATAAATATAATATTTATAGGTCTTGATTATTTATCGGGTGTAGAAAAAATAGCGTATGCAATTCTCATGTAATGGTTATTAAAACACTCGCATAAACCATACGAAACTCGCCTTTGGCTCGTTTCGTATCCCGGTTAATACTCGTGTATTAATAACCATCATTACATGATCGTTGCATAATATACTATTATAAATCTTGCAAAAAAATTAATATCTAATATTTACGCCAGCCGGGAACATTTGTGATACCAATTTATTAGAAGCCAGAGAAAGCTCTTCTAGTTCTTGTATTGCATAAACGTTCCAGTCCGCAGACGTATATTTAACTCCGCTTCATAATAATACGAATAGGGTCGAATAAAACCTTCCACGGCTTTCAAAACGCCGCACCGCTGTGCCGGTCGGAGTGGGGGGGGGGGTGTTTATTTTCGTTACAGAATTACGGAATTTCTTGATTCGGTCGCCACGCTCAAAGCCCGCGATAAAAGTTATGCAATAGCTTAATAACATGTATGTACACTCATTTTCTTTCACTATTTTTTCATCACTTTCTTCATTAATAAATGCACTTTGTTATTCATATTTAAAACACTTTATACACAAATTTTACGCGTACAGCTATTCACTGTTGTACATAGATGACAGATACTTATATACCTATGTGGATAGGAAGTTGTTGGTTCGAGCCCCGAAACTTTTAGTTTTTTTTTGTTTTTTTTTGTTTTTTTTTGTTTTTTTTTTTTTTTAAAGGAAAAATATTGTTTTATTATTTCACAGTCTTGGTAATTTAAAATGTTTAGTTTTTAAAAAGTATATACTTATTCAGTGATTTTCCACACTCGTGTCATAGTCGCACTCGGCTTGTGCCTTGTGCGACAATATTTCCCACTCGTGTGAAAAATGTCACTTTCCACACTTGTAATGTAATATACTATTCCTATTTTTTTGAATTTAAATAAACGAAGTCTCCACTGGTAGCTTGCATTTTTAAAATTAGCTGAACCTCGTTATGCACCACTATACATTGAATAAGTTTATACTTTTAAAAACTAAACATTTTAAATTAAGACTGTGAAATAATAAAACAATAATATTTTTCCTTTTTTTTTTTTTAAAAAAGTATCGAGGCTCGAACCACCAACT